TTAGGATTTCAATGGCGATGCATGAGCACAGCCTGAGGTACTTCAAGGTTGCCTGTCTGCTCAGTGCACCTCGACGCACTCGGGGAGCCCGAGGCATGGTTTGAAAAGTACATTTAAAAAACAAAAAACCCAACAAAAACCCCCTTCCAGTGATTCACAGATCACTGACACGATCATCCATAATGGAGCCAAGCCGGTGACTTTTATCTCGCTGTGTTCTTCATAGTCCTTAATTTGGAGATCATTGCCAGGACAGACAGTAATGACTCTCTCGGAACTGTTATGATCTGGAGTGACAATCTCTCCATCTCGCCCATGGCCGATTGACACCGCGGGCTCATTGTGTCGAGTCAGACTTGCGCTCGCAGAATCCGGATGGTGATGGGTTTTAATGCAAATGATAGGCTAGCTGGCTATAACGCGCATTCACATGTGGGGAGGGTGTCACCGGGACAGGCGCCGCGTCTCCCACGCACCATCCGCGGACCTGGAAGGGGCTGCGAAACGATTCACGCAGCCCGAGAAAACCGGGAGGCAGGACCGACCCGGGGACAGGGCCCGTCCGCTTCCAGCGCCGCGCCTGTGAAGCCCGGCGACACTGTCCCGACATGCATGGGCAGCGGAAGGGCAGGCCGGCCTGTCCCACCTGGGGGGACAAACACCGTCCCAGGGGCCCATTGATCCGGGCACATGGCACGGGCGGGGGCTCTGCACAGGTTGCCTCCACACAGGCCCCCACAGTAGCCTCCATTTGCCCTGGCAAGGGAGCCAAGGATGCTGGTCACCGGGATGGCGCTGGGCTCGCTCTCCTGGACTCCAGGAGAAAGGCCCTAAGGAAAAGCAGGGAAACCGGCCCGGGCAGGTGGCAGCTCGGGCTGCTTTGGGGGTTTCTTTTTAAACCTCGCTCTCCACTGTTTGTGGGTGTGTTCGGGGAAATGTTGGGAAACGGGCTGCCCCCTTCCCCCGAGCCAAAAGCAATTCCCGACACTACAGCATCAGGTGGGGGACTAACACTAGCAATTTATATTTCTAGTCCTGGGATTGTCACCGCGTCTTGCAGATGTAGGGCCAGATCCTAAAGCCACAGGACTGCGCTGGTGAGCAAGGCTTTGCAGAATCGGGCCCTCCAAGTGAGCTAAGGCTCCGGGGCTGGGACAGGAGTCCGCACAGCCCGGGTGAAAGAAATCGCGGCCGAGTCGCGACTTCAGGAGCCCAGTTTTATTCCTGGGAGGGTGAAGGGGGTTTATGGCCGAGTGAGAAAGCCCCGTACAACAGCTGTTCAGAAGAGGAACACCAACAGCACCTCTCGCTGAACCGGGCTAATCGTTCACTTGGCAGTGGGAACCACTAACAGTTTTGTAAACTGCCTCCTGCCGCCCAACACCTCTCGGATTTTTTTTCCTTCATTTCCTGCCGTAATGGTAATTGTCACATAATGTCTGTGTTTATAGCGAGCTCGACGGGTTTGTAGAGAGCCGGATCTCTGGGTAGCTCGTTTCCGTGGCGCGTCTCCCCAGCGCTAACTGGAGAAACAGCAACGAGGGGAATACAAGGGAATTCCGCACCGTGCTCAGTCCAGGATTGCCAGGCAAAGCAATGGCTTTATTTTAGGCAGCTTCCTGCAGAACTGCTTTATTAGAGTGGAGCAAACTGAGAGGACGGAGAAAATCTCCTCCGTGTTAGAAACAAGAGCATCTTGAATGGCATCTTCAGACCATTTCTGAAGTGCAAAGTTTAGTGCGAGACTGCAGTCCCTGCGAGTCACTACATCGAAACACCTATGCCTGCCTAACAGCTCCCATCCAGGCTGCCAAGTGGCGATCGAAAATAACCCCGATTTGGTACAAATACTTCGGCTTCCACTGGTGTTTCCTCTCAAACGCCATACGCATAAGCGGTAGCAGCTCGCGCACACAGACCTGAGCTAGACTGAGTTATGCGGAGCCCTAATAGATAATAAATCGCGAACGGAGCTAAAAGTTGGTTAAGAGATGCAGTCCGCCAGTCTTTTCTTTATGCTACTGGGGATTTTTAAGCTGACATACGAACAGGAAAAGCTCTCAAATGATTCAGTTAAAATACCACCTCTTCCTCCTCACCACATACAGCAATGGGTTTAAGGGATATGTCCTTTTCAGATTTTAAAATAGAATTGAGGAGAATATTTGCTTCACTAAAACCCCAATCTAAGACGCTAATTAAAAATACCACCTGTCTGTACGGGGCTCCTGGGATGAAAAAGGAAACACATGCACGTGCATGCGAAAGTCTTGAAGGTTTTGCTAGACTCCAGAACACAAAGCATGTGGGATAGGGGGGAAAACCCCGTAATTATTATTCTTTTGTTTAGTAATTCTACCAGATTTGGTTGTCTTTGAATGAAGACCTGGCGCCCCAATAACATAGACGAGAAGGTGACTGCGAGCGGCGTCACACGTGTGCTGCTAACACGGGTGTGCGTGAAAGCGCTGCGCAAGGGGGAAAGAAACGCCAACACCCGTGTTTACAAACACTGAGGGTGCCAGGTTCATTTTCTTTTCTTTTTATTTCACTTTCTCTGGGTTTGGGGATGGGAACAATTAACACGGGGAGGAGAACGATTTCTTCCCCGGACTTCTGCTGCGGGTTATTTGCTCGCCTTGTGATTTTCCGATTCATCTTTTTTTTTTTTTTTTTTTTTTTAAAGAGATAAAAATCTAAACTTTTTTTTTTTTTTGAGAAAGTTCTTTAGCGTCGTCTTAAATCCCTTTCACATCCTCCCTCTCTAATTGCCGGTGTATTTGATCTTGAAAGGCTGCTAAACTTTTTTGGAGAGGAGAGAAAAGCCCCGCACACTCAAAGCACGAGCTTCTCGCTGGTGGCAGGACCGGCGCTGCGCAGCTCCCACTGTGTCCAATAGGGGGCGCTGGGCCAGCCCGCGCCGCGCTCCGCACATCTGAGCCCCGGAAGAAGGGGGGACAGCTTGGAAGCTTAGCAGGGTCGAGTACAGATCTTTAGTCTTCATGGATAAAAAGAGATTAAAGGCTAAATTCTTTTTTGTATCAATTTTAACCAACTACGAAAATGTAGAGCTTTTATCCTTTGATGTTTCCCAGAAAGAAACTGTTATATCAGTTGTGAAATTACAGCGTTTCAGAGCCAACAAACCCAGCCATGGAGTGGTAAAATAATTTAATTAAAAATAATAATAATATGAAGACCTGATCTTCCTTAGAGGCACTTAAAAGCTGACACATGTGTGCGTGTCCCCCCCCTCCCTTCCCTTCTCCCCTTTTAACAAATGTTTTTCTGACTGCCATTACATCTGAATAATTGAAAAAAAAATAATAACTTTAGATTACGACTAGATTTCAGGATCTGTAAGGGTGGGGGGTGGGGGATTTTTTTTTTTTTTGCCTTGCCTTTATACGACTAGTGTATTTCGTACAAGCCGGCTCTAAGGAGGCACGGTACCGTGACAAAAGCGAATCATTAAAAAATAATAAATCAAATGTTGGTCTATATCCATTTATGGTATGAAGCCTAAATAAAATTGTAACTGGCTCCCCACTTTCCCCCCACTACAAAAACTCTTCACCTGTATTTAAATAGCGCGTCTTTAATTACAGCAGTTGGGGATGTATGAGGCTGAAATGAAATTAGCAGTCATTACCAGTCCTTTAACTCTGTGGTGCTTTTGATCAGCACTAAATTAGCTTTCCAGTCCTAACAAAGGCTCTATAGCAAGCAGTGGGCTGTAAATAAGACAGCTCGACCTGCCCTCAACACCTTTTCCCTTGTCAATCACAGCTCTATCATTCAGCCCAAGATTAACCTTTATCTACCAAATTCTTAAAAAAAAAAAAAAGAAAGAAAGAAAGAAAGAAGGGGAAAAAAAACCCACCTCAACTTTGCTAACAGTAACTAAAAGGAGCCTCCCGTTAAATGCTATTATAATGAGCC